AAGACGTCTCATTTTAATCAAAAATTTGCGGGCTACAATTATATCTCATTAAAAGGGTTTAGTTATCTTTTAGAGTTCTTGAAAAACTGGTTTTCCAGAAAACGGGGTCTTCAAGGGTCATGGGCCCGAACCCTTTTAGGATTTTCGTAGTCTCACTGAATCCTACTTATAGCCAAAATATGGAGTCAAACGGCGTCCGACAGTTGGATAGGTTCCCTCCTAAGGAAGAATCTATGACGCTATATGGTCGTATATTCGATCTTGACACTTCTGTTCCAAAGATCGTGAGCGAAAGATTGAAAAATCCAAGGTCGTGCGACAATTCTTAACGCAAGATCGTGGGCATAAGGAGTTTCAGTAGGGAATCGTAATGATACTTTGTTGACTCTTTTTTATTACAGCAACATAATGGAACACTTCAAAATTCTTTACCTTTTTACTTTCTACTTTACTCGTTTTCAACTTTACTTTTTTCGTTCTTTACTCTTTTACTCCTTTTTAAGCCAACCGAGTGAAACTCGGCGGGGCTTATTCTGTTTCACCACAAAAAATTCTTCTTTCTTCTTCTAGATTAACTTTTTCCTTTAATCCCTGATTTTAGCTTATGTGCTGGGGTGGAAACCGTGATTCTGAACTCAAAAACCTGTTTTCCGGGGTCTTAGTACCAGGAACCTCCTAAAAAACTTCTACAAATTTCAAGGATTTTGAGATAGATCCCCCCCATTCATCCTCTTTCTAACGATAAAAGTGTAAGCTCGATAGCTATCAGCGTTTCAGAGTCATTCAACAACAACCGAGTGCATTCTATTTTGAAATGGACAGTAATTAATGGCGTGGTTGAGCAAGTACTATCCATTCAACAATCTAAAATGATAGTGTATCTGAAGACAGACATTGATATTTAAGCTTTCGTCAAATTATGACTATATTTAGAATGATAAAATTTGAGATAACAGTAACATTTCTGTTTAAGATCATGTGAGAACAAAAACAGTAACAGAGAAAATATTCAAAAAACAAAAACTTTCAGGGTTTGTGTATTTCAATTATAACGGGTTATGCAGTACACTTTGGTAATGAATAGGGTTGTATAAAGCTTGATGTAGTTACTGTCGGTGTTTGCAAATAATTTTGATAATAGTTTGTTGGATCATATGAACTCCAAAAAGCAGCTGCAGTTGATGAATAATCTCCGAAATGAGAACGTAATAAATCACATGATCGTTCGGTAGTAGAAAACGATGATGAATTATTTAAAAACGGTGACGATAATGTGAAACGATTATTAGTATTCATAATTCCAACTTTAGAATCAATATCGCTCAATGTTAGTTTTGTGTCTATATCTTTACTTTCATCTGTTTTTGAATCATGTTTGTCTCTGTCGACACTACTATCATTGCCATCATCGGAATATTGTTGATCGTCCTTCCAGTGGGATGTGGCTGCATTGAAAATAGTCATTGTTGTGCCATCAGGACTTGTTTTTTCGGTATGTTGGATGACTTTTTTGAATTTTGAACGTTTATTTTGAAACCATATTTTTATCTAAAACGAATAAATTAAACTTTTATATTGAGAAAGTACCTAGGACTAATGCATAAGTTAAACAGTTTCAATAGTATACTTTGGTCCCTCATTAGTGTAAATCATGATTATTTGCCGAATGGATGCTGTAAACGAGATGCCAAAAGTCTAACGAGAAAAGCTCACTGGTTGTTAATAATTAGATACTGTGGTCGATGTTTTAGTGTGGATTCGTCTCTAGTTACCCATTTTCACTTTTTGTGTTGTCTTGAATGTTCTTTAATTTTACAAAATCAATTATGGATGAATCGAGAAGACACTAGTAGTTCGACTCTATTCTTTGTTCACACATCTTCATGATAAAAAATTATTTATTTTTTTCTCAAGTGGTCTGATACGAGCCCCATTCTAAAAAACGTTTTACCATCATTATTTGAACGTGTTAAATCATTTTGGCGACAAAAAAGTGATCAAATAAACGAGAAAAACAGATTATAAGTATTAGAAGAAGTTCTCCTATGGAAAAGGGCATTATTTCTCCTGACCGAGTGAAAAAAATCATAGGTCAATAGAATAGAAGGCCACTCAGAAGAGTCTTATTTGAAGAGACACATTAGAAGACCACTGGTATTCTATAAAAAAGCAGGAAATAGAACGTTATTTATTACTGACAAAGTTTGAGATTGAAATCATTTTAATTAACAAGATTGAAAGTACCTCTCTTTGTCTACTGAATCATTTTTGTTCTTTTCAGCCATGACGTCATGCTTTCTGAATCAAACGGGTACGTGAGTCCGAATGAGTACTTTTGTAGCTATAGGAGGAGTTGAAAAAGTTCATATAACAGAAATTATTTACTAATCATTTCCATCTCCAGTAAAACAGACAGAAATAGAATTAGTCTACGAGAGACTTTAGAGCATGTCTACACTATATTAGCTTTTTCAAAGGTGTCACCGTATCTAGGACGAAGTCAAAAGCTCACGTCAGCTACCTCTTTATACGCAAATTAGTGTAGTTAAGTATTTTTTGTCAATACTCTGTTTGGGTGTGATCATTAGATCAAATAGTTGATGTATGCCCGGTAGTGGGAAAATCATACTAGATCTATTTGAAGAAAATAGTTTGTCTCGTCATAGATCGCACTTCATACATTACAACCGAAAGATCTATATGGTGAACTTGTCACTCAAAGCCATTGAAACTGAAACCATTTTGAACAAAGCTTGCAGCAATAGTAGATATTTCGAGATAGATCTTGAATATATCTGAACACACTACGTCATTTTCTTCTCTCTATCTTTGATGTTTGTATGAATTCGATGAATGATGGGCGTATCGGTCATTTCTTCTCTATTTTCATGATTTCTTTTTATTTATCCTTGTCTTTTTTATATACAATAGAGTATACACAGACCATGGGAAGAGAATGTCGATGCGGTATACATACACAATAGATTGAAGGATGCCTGCAGCGTTTTTTCCTTCCTTTGCTCTGATCATCATCATCACTACAACACACATCTTTACTACTACAAAACACCTTTAATAACAGGTTGTCGTCCCCATAGACAAGTTAAGTAAAAAATATTATTCTTTGTTTTCAGATAATGAAAACTACCTCCCTCTTTTTGAAAGACGCACTGGATATAGTCAAACAACACCTTTTGATTTTGCTCACTCATTCGAATGAACATTGCGTTCTATGCAAGAATATTTGAACAACAAGAATGGATAATTAACAAATATCCAACAATATTTTGAAATAAAGACACATTTTTTTTCTGTCAAAAATTCATTTTTTACGATGTCGGAATTATTATCAGGCAGTCTCACATGTTTGTCTCACAAGCAAGATGAAGTAGCCATGAACAAACAACGTTTCTGACTATCTTCCGATTGAAAAATACCCTTCACTATCGCTAATTTAAGTTTTTTTTTTTTCCACCAGAATGAAATAAATATGGTTTTCGATTAGTATGATGTTTCTATATCATATTAGCCGAAAAACTGTCAAAATACAAAACACACAAATGACCATGTTCTAGCTACTATTGTTCACTTTTCTCGCTTAACTAAGTCAAAATGTCTTGCAATTGATTGTCAATCAATCTTTCAACGTGTATCTTTTGTACACATATTAATACGGCTATACGCCTAGTTTAGATAAGCTACAGAGGTACCGCTATTGATTTCCTTTATAACGTCTGACTGAGTTGAAATATTTACATAAAATGCACTGTTGTCATCTCTCCTCTATTTAATATACAAAGTTTACACTACGTTTTTTTGAGATAGCCACATGTTGATACTGTTTAAAGAATTCAAAGAGGTTGGAGACTAATTGCGCAATAAACCGTAAATGTTGAAAAGAGTTCACTGATCAAATGAGTGAAGCGAACAGAGACAAGCAGGAATAACAAATTCGACTTCATAGCGAAATTGACATCCTTTTTGACTTCTCATTACAGAAATACCTCTAGTATTAATTATCCAGAGTACTACTTATTATCTTGACCTAAAATTTCAAACATTCAAACATAGAAAAATCCGACGTTAATCATTGTAATCAGGTATTTTCTCTCTACTATGATCCTGACGACATACATTAGGTCATTAGTCAAAATCTGTGTCCAGTAGAAGATACTATAGATAGAACAAAGACATTTGTAGCGAATAGTCTCTTCTGAAAAGTAATCAAATAAGATATGCCTAGATTATTTGCTTACAAAGTTAAACATTTTTCATATCACTTAGTAGTAAATCCGGGAAACACAAGTTTTTCCCTACACTGACCCGTAATAATTCATCGTGCTTTTTTCATCGATAATAAACTCAAATCATCTTCTTAATGCGTTGACGCGCAATAAGTGTTAAAACTTGACATGATGTACCATCGTCATCATTCTCATATTTTTTCCGTCGCTTTTTGTGATAGTGCCTCAGGATAAAAAACGATCGATCATTTGACACTGTAAAACATATATACGTATATATAGAATGGAGAAGGATACAATGTAATGTTCATCATAAACAAGACAACTAAAAGATAATAAATGGTCGTTAAAATTTTCACCTATTTAGAACATGACAAAATAGAAAAGAGAAAGACAATTGTCCAATCTATCTAACAACTCATATTAACAACTATCTGACGCGAAGCGATTAGTCAAGTTTTTCACGAATTTTAGGAATCGCTGACACGTTTTTTCAGATATAATGTTTACTTCCGATAATCGATATCTGTTGCTTATGCTCCATTGCTAATCTTTACTTTAAAAACGTACTTACATATTTAGTGCTGAACGATATCTGTCACAAATATGTATAATACACAAAAATTTATCAACTCCTTCTGTAGAAAAAGGTTCTTGAAGAGAGTTTCTCGAAAATCATTTTGAAAATAACTGATTATCATCGTTCGTACTACAGGTAGAATCATAAACACTTTTCACTACTTTCTATAGCAGGTTACGTAAAGACATATGAAGTCGAAATAGATTTAGCGGGAGATTTTTTGCAGACGAGTTGAAGAAAAATCTTTTTTGTAAGTTACTTATTAGCATAAGGACATGACTAATTCGAAAATATCTCTTCTCAGGTCTTTTCCGTTACCGAGATAACAGGCATTATCCGTAAAATAACTACCTTTCCTGCCGGCTACTTATAATCATACCTTTATGAATAAAATAACCATAAGTAGTTTGAGTACAGTATAGAAACATGTTGCTAGGTGCGAGCTTACTTTTCATTGGTAGAAATCGTGAAAAAATCGAAAGTCCGACATGATTAAA